TTTTGTTTGTTTTCAGGTCACTAAAACAATATTTGAATAATTAAATAAATATATACATATGTATATTCTTTATACATATATACAATCATATAAAAAGTAATAATTTTTAATTGAAAACCAAATAAATTTATTCCAACAGCTGAAGTGTTCACACTCCATGAAAAAAATGGTCAAAAAAAATTATACATATAGTATTGTAGTTCATATCCTGCGGGAATGAACCACCTCGACCACCCAATTAACGAATTAACGAGGCCACCCCCTATAGAGCCCAATACAAGGGCAATAATAATGACAATCATTTAATTTCAGGTTAATTGCACACACTCGCCCATAAATTGTGCGGTGTTTGGGTAATTTATTTGCATATTTCACCGAAGCGCGAGCTGACAGCCCGAAATTATGTGCTACAAAATACCAGAAATGCCTAGGAAATGTTGAATATTTTTTTGGTGGCAGGAGGTTCTTGGTAATTAGGGCGTTGAAAATTTAAGATATTCAAGAAAAGCTACAGGAAAGCTAAGATAAAATAAGGAGGAAATATACAATACTTTAAATACTCTATAAGATAAAAATAGGAATAGGAATAGGATATAGATAGCTCATCTTTCTATTATTTATAATATAATTGTAAAGATGTGAAGCTTATACCTTTAATTAACAAAAACTTATGCAATTTTTTGATCTTTCAGTTATATGACTGCTACAGATACTGTCCGCCGATCCGCCTAGTTAGATAAAAGAGTATGTACTATAAAACTGAGACACTAATTTAAGAAAAAAAAATTAACGGGCAAACGGATACGTGGACATGCTTATATTTTATTATAAAAAAATAATAAAACTCTCTACAAGAGTATTAAATAAATAAAGAACTTGTTAAATGCATTTTCGTGTCAAAATTAATTTAATGCTGTGCCCCCCTGAGGCTCGGCTAGAGCCAAGAGTTCGGGCCGCAAAAAAAAAATGAAACGAACTGAATTGGAACGGAACGAACCGGAAACGGAACCGGAAACGCACACATTTACGCAAGGGAGGGGAAGAGGTATATTGTAGTATACTCGCACCATATTTGGCTTATTTATTTGCTGGCAGAAATGCTCGACACCCGCCCTCGCACTGGAGCACATTTCTCACCTAATAAAATTACAATGGCACACCCCACGGTACACGTACCCTCCAGGACTGCATTCCACCCTCACATGTTGCTCCTGATCCTGATTCTGTGCAACATACACACACACACACACCCCCCACTGGTTGCTGCCCCCTGAGCTCTGGCCCCTTGTCCGCTGTCCGTTGTCCTTTTCGCTCCTTTTTGATGTAAATTTAATTTCGGTTTTCACATTTTGAGGTTTTCATAGCCACATGCCGGCAATGGGGACTATGTACTGCAAAAAATTACATACATACTTTTAGCTTTTGTAAAATATTTTTATACCTACATAATTAATTTTTTTTTATTTTTTAAATAACTCCTTATTTGTTTATTTTATTTTATTAAAAAGTGTCTTAGGAAATCTCTTTCAGTTTTTAGCATTTATCTCTGTGCCTTTGAACCCCTGTAGCCTGAAGTGAGGGTCCGTGTCTCAGTCTTGTCCTGCTCCTGCTCCTGCTTCCGCTCCTACTCCTACTCCTGTTCCTGTGCCTGTCCCCCTGCACCTTTTAACACCGCCTTCTTTTTCGCAGTGTGTCGTATCCCCTGAGGATTCGGGAAGCATATTCAGCCGCCGTAATGCTTCTTTCATCGTTACTCCAGCTCCAGGACCTGCTCAGGCTTCAGCTCCTGCTCCAGCTCTTGCTTCTGGCTGTCCTGATAGTCCTGGTCCTAGTGTTCTTTTCCTTCGTCCTGTCACTCTGTCATCAGCGTCGCATATTGTTCGCCTTTGTCCGGTTTGTGGCCCCCACATGAATATGTCAACTCGATTCCCTGGCGTGTGCTCCGAATCGAGTTTTGTGTTTTGCGCATTTCTTTTTTTTCCAATTTTTGTACGCTTTTCTTTTCTTTTTTTGTTGTTGTTGTTGTATTTTTGCAGGTCCTGTTTTTCCATAACTGCATACTCCGTCCGGATGAACTGCGATTTCAATTAAGACACCCAAAAACGCCATCCGAATTGTGCGCTCCATTCGCTGCAATTTCAATCTGTTTTCGTGATAGTTTCAATGCAAAAATTTAATTTGAACGAAAAATACATATATACATACCAGTTTTATTTTTCCATTCTATAATGTGTGGAATTTATAGTCTTTCTACGGAAAAATACTAACAATTATTACTTTTAGCCAATATACTCTTTTTGTGGCTAAATTCCACGCTTCATTCGCTGCAATTTCAATATATTCTGCACTAGTTTTGAAGGAAAAAAAAACAAAGAGTATATAATACTGGGGTACTTTTTTGTTTTCATAAATAAACAAAAATAAAACTAAATATTTCTTATATATTAGTGGTTAAATAAATATTAAAATTAAACAAATATGAGGGGAGAAGTTCATTGACACACAACCGGAAGAACTTCACACACAGGCATCCTTTTAAATGAGGCACATGAATGACAAAAAGAAAGGAGAAAGAATTCAAGAATCTCCAAAGCCAGACACTTGACACAAAGCTTAATTGCAGGACCCAAGGACCAGGCAGGCCAAGGGACCAGGGAACAAGGCCCGATTCCGGCGCGTATTTGGAGCCTCCTTCCCAGGACTCGGATTCAGACTGTGAAAAAGCGCCGAGTGCACTCGAGGTAATTTGATTTAATTGTGCGTGCCTGCCACCAGCAAAAACCAACAACAACAACAAATAAGAGAACAACAATAATAAAACAATAGCCCTTTGCCAAGTTGCCACAAGTTGCAACTCTTTGCTCATATGTTTCATAAGTTTGTGGTTGCTTTTTTCTAGATACCCTCGTATCCTTCAGAGAAACATATCCTTACCAAATTTTTAATTATTACTTTTTTAATTTTTAATATTTTTTAAAAGTACACAAATCTATATTTAATATTTATAAAAATATATATTCTATTATATCACTGTAGTCTAATTATTTTAAGTTGACTTCCAGGGTATCTAGTTATTTTTTTACATTTTTTAGCTCATAAGAAATTTAAAAGTCCAGGTCTGAAGCTGTTGAACTCTATTCTCTTGAACTTGCCACTGAAGAATGAGGCAAGTGGCAAGTGGCAAGCAAGTTGCAGAAGTTGCACAGCAAAAGTGGCAGAAGGAGGGCCTGTTTTGTACGCCATGGTCACCGTTGCAGGACTTTATTAACTGCGGCTTTTGTTTTTCTAGTTGGCAGTGGGACTGGTCCGTTCCCTGGGAATCCACTGCATAAATCATCAACGCAATGGCCTTTAATGCATAATTTATTTACCGTTCCAGGATCCAGGATTCACGATTCAGGATGCGGGATGCCCTCTCTACCCAGATGTCTCTGTCTGCGGTGTTTCTGTTTTTTTTTTGTATTTGTGTTGGTTATTATTGTTGTATATTTTTGGTGTCGATTTTTGGTTTCGGTTTTTGAGTTTGTGTTTTTACACTATAGAAGACGGCAAACTAGTTTTTAGGGATAGGATGGACTATCTCTGAAATATATAGTCTTTTCAGTCTGTCTGCATAACCATCTGCATTTTTTAAAGATTTTATTTTATTTTTTAAGATTTCAAAAATTGCTATACATGTAAAATACTTTTAATATTTTTTTAAGATGGATGTTAGCTCTATCGCATATCAACCCCCTGTCTGCCTGTCCGTCTTTTCTCATCAAAGCTGCTTCTCGTTACTTATAATTTTATTTATTTAATACATTTTTTTGTTCATTCACAAAAAAATCGTTACATCTGAGAAATTTATAGCTGTCGAGTATTTCCGCTTCCGTTTGCAATTAAACAAGCGACTAAAATAATAATAAAACATGCTAGACATCTCGTCAAGGATGCGATGGCGAAGGCATAATCAATTATTTGCCCTTCGATTCATGAATTCTAGATCGATAATTGTCATTCAAGGGGATTTCCGCTAAGCAGATGCTCTCTGTTAAAACATATATATGTATTCACAATCGATATGAAGCTAATTTATTAGTAATTAGTAAACAGGACATTTGACTTGGAACGCAGTCTGGTGTAAATATTAATTTGGAAAAACTTCTGTTATTTATCTGGCAGCGTGTGGGATGTTTCAATTAAAATTTAATTACCCAAGTGTTCAGTTCCGAATTTTAATTGGAATGGCCAAACAATTGAAAATCTAGTGGCCATTCATCTAGATTTCATCTAGCACATCCAGAACCTATAAATAATTCATAGTTCATAATGGCGTTTGTTTTTTGATGACCAGAGATTCCCTCAAAAATTAAAACAAAATTTGGTATACAACCATAGACTACCAGCCCGACTACTATCCAGACTAAAAATATCAGCTGGATAATGTTTGATTTTAACCGCGTAATTTATGATTTAATTGCATATTTGGTGGTGCAATGCAAATACCGAAAAAAACATCCGTAACCCCAACACCACTCTGTGTGTGGTTGCCTTTGGAACGACGTGCATTTCATTTAGATAACCGCAAATATTTGCCGCAAAACGCGTTTGTTCACTCCCCCGCCCCCCATTCCCAGCCTGCCACATGCCACTTTCGACGCGACAAAATCCCAGTCTCTGCGGTTCGTTAAAGCGAATTATTACTGCACCTGGGTGGGTGGCAGTCGTCGATGGGCCACCTCCACGATGGGCCACAAATGCCGATAAATATAATTAGGCTATTCATTTTATGCTTGCTAAAATCAATCTACTTCTATTGGAGAGACAGTCATGAGGGCTGTTGGCTTTAAATTTATTTAACGTCCAAAAATTACAGTGACGAATGCGCATTCAATGTTACTAATGGATGATATTACTGTGAACGATACAACAAATACACCTTTAAGAGATAAAAAAATATAGGGGTTTCGACTTTATAAGTATTCAATATATGTATTTCATTAGGAATTTATTTTATTATTATTTTATTTAATTATAATTAGGAATCCAATAGGAATCATAAGAAGATTCTTGGATATTATATCAGATAATGTGTTTTACATAAGATTCAGTATGAATTTCAATAATTTATGTTTTGGGGCTTATCTGATCCTCTAGTCCAGTTCTATCGGTGTGGGTTGGAGGGATCCAGATGAGCCATCAGCTCGCCCAGTCGCCGGGACCTCAGGGAGAAATGATCCTTCTGGCGTTTCAAGATGCCGTAAGCCACACCGTCCCGCAGATTAATCCTGACCTGGCGTTGGAATTCCGGATCGGTGCGGCGATAGGTGATACCCAGGGCGGCGATCACCTCGGTGACGCTCATGGGTCGATGGGCTTCCTCCAGGAGGCGCAGGATGCTCCGCAGCAGGTTCGGCACTAGGCGGCGCTGTGCCGGCAGGGCTCGTGTCTTGTAGGTGACCGGCATCCTGTCTATATCCTTTTGGTTACTGATTTCCAGCTATACCCGACTGCTGATCCAACCTGCTCCCGATTCCTCTCCAAAGTCCAGTATCTAAGCGGCCGGCATTATCGCTTCAAAATTTAGTTCGATGAGAAAAAAAAGGGAATAACAAAAGGACGAAAGTGGACTGGACGGAGGGAAGAAATGGAGGGTGTGGCAACAATTTTGTGTCCGACTAGCAAGTGAGTCTCGAAGGAATGCCAGTTTCAGCCCCAAATACTGATGTGCCCCACCAGGCCTGCTACCATTTCAGTTTCCAAAACAAACCAGCATGTGGAAAAGCATGCTGTTCTACGGGGCAGGACTCCTCACACTTCTTCCTTACGGCCAATTAATCAGGAGATCCTGCAACCGGGAGCAGGAGCAGGAGCTGGTTGAACTTGAATGACCTCGAGGCATAAAAACGAAAACGTCGTCTACAAAGCAACGGAATAGCGGAGAACCGGAAAGCCACCAAGCCGGGTGCACTCGAAGAAATTACAAAAGACTATGTCATTTTTCGGAAAAGGATAACAATACAAACAAGCAAAGAAAAACGAAATAAATCTTTGATATTTTCTATTAAATATTAGCTTTGGTAAACCTTAAATTTTTCTACAAGTGCCGCCAGGAAGTGGAAACACTAGCCAAGGACCCCCGCAAAACATCAAGTGACATTTGAACGGAGACAAAAAGTCATTATCACGGCGACGTCGGGCCGCACTCCCCCTTCCTCATAACCTGGGAAACCTGGCACTCTGTTCCTGGTCCTTCTTCCTGCCCAGCTCCAACTTTCCAGCTGGATCACCCCTCGGTATAGCCCTCCAAAGTCCCCTATATTCCGCACTAGATTCGCATTCGGATTCGGATCATGTGCAGCATATGGAGCGGAGGAGCACGTGGTTGGAGTTGGCCGCCATCATCGTCGTCATCGTCTTTGTCGCCATGTTTTTGCCTTTTCCGGCATTTTGTTTACGATTCCTTTTTGTTTTTGCCCTCACACACATACACATATATAGTATATGTTATAGTATGTGTGGGTTATCCTTTTTTTCCCTTTTTTTTTTTGTTTTTAAGCGAAGCGTTTTCTGGGCTCCCCAGCGTTCGCGTATTTCCTTTCGAGATGCGAGTTGGCAGACGGCAGTTTTCCCTGAATGATTTTCACTTGTTTGTGCTTGTTGTCCTTTGTTCGGCTGGCCCAAGAGAAAGCCGACCCTGTTTCGAGGACTCTCCTTTTATTTTCAGCACTGAGACAACAATTTTACATTAATTTGTATAGATTTTTGTATTTTTTATGAAACTTCTGTTCAATATTTCAAGCAATATTTCAAGTTAATTCTTCTGTATAATTTTCTACAATCTTTGAACTTTTAACATTTAATTTCTAGAACACCCAAAAATAATAATTTTCTATTTTGTATGCCTTTAATTTTTATTTTCAGTGCAAGTCTTCTTCATCAGTAGCAGCCGCCAAGTGCAATTGTCATAAAGTGTCATTGGCTGACGTCGCTGCCTCGCATCCTTGCATCCTTGGATGCTTGGCGAGGTCCTTTGTGTAGTTGTTGGTGCGGTGAATCAACTTAAATGAGTATCCGCTTTGTAACTACAAGTGCGTGGCTTCGTTTTGTTCCCTGCTTCCCTTTTTGGCCAGTAGCTCGGTGGCCAGGAGAAGGTGGCCAGCCAATTGGCTTTGTGTGCGACTTGGCTTTGTCCTTAGTCCTGGACGCGGCCAGAGATCCCAAAAGCCCAGATCCCAGATCCCAGGTCTAGGTCTAGGATAAAGCATTATGGTATGAGTGGGGTATGCGGTTTATATGGAAATGGAAACGTGTCTCATTTTAGTGAAAGCTTTACTTCAGCGGGAAGTTCAACCCGAACCTTCCAAACACACAAAAAAATAAACATAATCCCCGTTATCCTGCCTAGCTTATAAATCTCAGGACTTTTGTTTTTAAGGTTAAAGCGCAAGTATTTAGTTTAAGTAACTTATATATTAAAGAATAAATTACTTTGTTTAAAATAGTTTAAACATTTTATAGTTTTTTAAACGAGTTGAAACATTTTTAAAATTATTGAACTACGAGACATGTTTTTTTGAATTATATTTCCCATTTTCCCTAAAACTTAAACTTCAAAAATGTAAACCTTTAATGTGGGGACATCCAATCATAACCCAAAAATGAAAATCCTTTTAATTTTCCGAAAATTTCCTACCCACTTTCGCTCCACCTAAAACGTATCTCCGGCAAACTCGACTGTACTTTGGCATCTATGCAAAAACGGTCGGAAAATCGTTGGGAAAAGCGAACGGAAAAGTGATTTATGCAGGATCTGTGTCGCATGGCGGCGAAAAACTGAGAAGACTCCCAGTATCCTTAAGCGGCTTATGAGTAATGCCGCGAGTCCTGCGGCGATACACGGCGACACACACTGCCGCATCCTCCATATGGCTATTGGCCGGAGAGTTGTAGGATACCAGGACCTAGCCCTGGGCTACGATCTGGGCCTCCAAACTTGGCCAACTGGCTGGGGGCCAAAAGCCAACTGAAAAAAAAAAAAATAAGGCTAGAAAGTGACAGCGACAGGTGGAGAAATGTGAGAATTTTGTAGCCATCCTTTCCCAAAAACAACAATGTATAAGATACAACATTTTTGGATTCCCCCCGGATCCGAAAAAGTGTTTTTCCCGAATTGAATATGGCCCGTCCCGGAGAAACAATTACAAAACACTGACTAGGTGAGCGTTGGCAAGGGGGGAGGTCTGAAAGGACCTGGAGTTCAAAGGACCTCGAACACATAAATGCCAGCCAGGAATGATAAATTGACGCTTGACGGGAATGCGGGAATGAATGCCAGTGAGAGGAACTCGCGATGGGATTAAACTAGCAGATACAACTGCCAACGGAGTATGGAATCTACACTGTCAGAAGAAGTAAAAAAAGGGCTCTTATTTTGGCTGAAATAAATTGTTTTAATTATTTCTAGAATTGAAAGGTGTTTGCCCTATACTTACAAGAATAGGTACCTTCGGCGCAGACAAACAAACAAAGAAGCGGCCACAAGGACATGCGGTCATAACTTTAATGACTTTTGGCTCTTAATATTTTTGAAAAAACCAAAGGAACAAATTTAATATATATTTTTTTCTGTGTCCTAGCATTGGAACAGGGTTAGATTCATTTGTAAGTGGGCTTGGGGTTTCTCTTTATTTTTTGGAGGTTGAAGGGAGGTGGGTGGCCAGACAATGGGCGACATTGAGCAATTGCCGTACATAAATATCCCGGCATTCACTCACACACGAGGCCTCATCATAGTGTCAGGTCTCAGGACCAGGACTCAGGACTCGCAGACTTGTGACTTTGGACAACCACCTGTCAGGACGTCAGGATAGCCAAAACATAAACAATCCGAACAAATCAAAACAAGCGAAGGAAGCCGAACGTGCGGCGGAGAGCGGTGACGCGTGCAAGCAACATGTTGCCAGGATGCCAGAGCAAGGACATGCGCATTCCCCAATGCGCAACATTGTTGCCGAGTTCGAAATTTTTGTGGCAACATTTCGATGATGTAGAAGGTTTTTATTGCCAACGAAGAAGCGGTTGCACTTGCGTGGTTTCAAAAGGATTATAAAGTCCATAAAGTATTTTGTTTCTAAATAAGTTATTTTTATTCGATTTTTTTGAAAGTTTTAAGACATTTTTGTGATAATTATATAGGGATTATGTAGGGAATAATAGGGCTCACGACCCCTTTAAACATAACTTCTTCATATATTATCCTTTGTTATATTAAAAGCACTCAACAATGTTTTTCCTTTGTCATTTATTCTTTGTTGTTCCTAAAATTTCGAACCAGCCAGTCAGGCCTATTCTTTTCCTTAAACTAGAAACTCTTAAATATTAAACCTAAAATGAAGAAACTTTAATAGAATATAAGTCAAAGGAAATGTTTAACATTTCTTAAGATCTTTACATTTACTCCTTATATTTTTCCTTCTTTCTTACCTTATAAATCTTATATAAATATTATATAAATAATTATCTATAATTGAAATCACGCTATTATTAATATTATTTATAAGCAGCTAAATAAATACCAATAAGGAATTCAGGAAAAATTTCGATTTAAGTATTAAGGCGTTACTTTAAGCATAAATTTCAACGCAATTAAATATTAAAAAAATATATATACGGGATTATGTAAAATATAAAACAAAATAAAAAGCTGCATTGTTTTAAATATTTAAATATTCATATTTTTTTTTTAAATGAATACTTTGTAAAGCTTAAAGCAGATATACAAATTTGAGAAATTTATGTTTTTGTTTTATGTTTTTTATGAAAATTGAAATTTGAGTTTTAATGAGAATATTTTCATAAATCCCACAAACTTGCTTTATATTGGCAGGCCAAAAGGATAACGTGCCAGGATAACAGTGGCATTTAGGGCAAGTCAGTGAAAATATGGAAATGCCGACACTGCCATATAATAACTGGGAAAATTTCATATTAATGAGTAGCTACTTTAATCCGCGCCGCATGAATACATTTTCCATTTATGTATGTACCGCATATGCACGTGAGCAACACATTCTATATGAATATATATTATGAATATATAGATATATATATAACTCTTGGTGTCTGGTTTGAGAGAAATCGCTGGGCAACAAAAAGAGTGTTTAATTAGCATATGGCGGCAATTAATTAATTTGCAACGCGACCAGCAAACCAACGCAGAACCTCCCCTCATAACCTTTATGCAATTTTCATATTAAATCAAAGATTATTCTATAATTAAATGTGTGCACAGAATACCAACGAAAAAAAACCATGCAGCAGAACGAGCAGGAAGGGTCCTTTAAATTGGAGATGTTTGCCTTGAAAATAAAAAGTACAAAAAAATCAATACAAAAAAAATAAAAGAATAAATACTGATTGATGACCATTGAGAAAAATCGACGATTGGTTAATTGTTGACGCGATGAAAAATAAAATTAATGAGCGAAAAGTCGTTGGCAGTTTTATTTCTGGATAGGGCAAAAAAAAAAAAAAATTAAAAAGAATTGTTGGCGTTTTTTGTCAGGACTGTTTCTGTTGACTGTTTCTTTTTTCTCTTTTTTTTGGTCACCGCAAAATTGTTGACAGCATAATCGACTTGCACTTAAAAACGACAGCAAATGTGTTAATTGAATGACACATTATCGTGGTTCACTTACCAAACTGCAAAACCGGTGGGGAAAAAATCCTGCAAATCGGAAAAGCGGGAAAATCGGCAAACGGAAAACTGCAACAACTGAAAATGGCCTGTTTGGCGTTGAAATTTTTGCGATAATGTGACTTCTGAAGCGGTTGACCTCAAAATGAAGTGTGTGTCTTTAAAAATCAATCCCTTGTCAGATTTGAGTTCTGCAGCAAATAGAGTCCTACCACGATCCTTTAAGACACATTTTTTAAGCATTTATTTATATATTTAAAAAAAAACACTTAGCTTTTTTATGAAGTAAACTTCTCACAAGCAGAAGAAATGGTAAAGAAAGCAGTTTTGAACCTCTTATGTCTTACATTCTTTAAAATTTAAAACGTTCCCATTTGAAATATTGTCTCCAAAATAGAAGCCAGCAATCAGAATTCGTTTCGGTGGAAAATTAGTCAGGCTTTCTCGTTTTTTGTTTGGAGGCCTGCAAGTCATCATTACAAGTTCATTGACATGTCATCCGTCTCAATTATCCCTGTTGTCCGGGGCATGTGAAAGCGAGGGGGATGTCCTGGCGAGGACACACTCTCCCCCAATTGAAAGAAATGACACACTTTACGAGCGCCCCGCCTCATTTTAATGCAAATCAATAAATTTATATACAAACCCAACATTTGAATTGCCCGCCCAGCTGTGAGACTTTCAAAAGAGGTCCTCGGCCCTTCGACCATTGGTATTCGGGGCATTGGGGGCGCATTGCGATTATCCTGTGGATATGGTTATGAAAGTAGAGACCGGCAACTGGCAACTGCAAACTGGACGGGGTCCAGCCCCTGGCACTTGAAGTTTTGCTTTTTATTTCAATTTCCGCCCGCAAAATGACAAAAATACTGACAAGACAACAACAAAGACAAATTTATGCCACATTAACAGCTAAAAGCTTTCAAAATGCGTTTTGCTTACGCCACAGGCTAAAAAAGGGGGGCGTGGCAAGGGTGTTTTCTGGCTAGGGATACGCGGTGGAGGGTTGAATGATGCAAGGGACCTCAAAAAAAAAAAAATCAAAATAAATAAAAATAAAAAAACGAAGCACATTTCTTACGAGTTGTGGAGCTCTGAGTATGACCGAAATTTTTGGCACATCTTGTACAACCCACCTACCCCCCTGGCAAATAGGGTGCGGGATGACCAGGAGGGAGGGGCTGGAAGCTCCACTGGGGTGGCAAAAACAAAGGCATTAAATTTAACGCGCCAAAACTTGTGCCATTTCTGGATGCCTTCGCCTCAGTTGCTGCGACAAATTTCAGTTAGCTCATCCGTCCTGCCACATTGGCACTGAAAAAAATATTAAATTATTAACCGGAATATGGCCTAATAATATACATATATGTATAAGCTCCAGTTAATAAGAAATTTTCAGAAATATATACTTAATACACTTATTTTAATAATTATACAACTAAAATCTGCACATAATTATATTCCAGAAACCTACTATAGACATGTCATCACATTTTAATCATTAAGTTTTTATTAACTGGTATTAAATGTGTTGAATTATAATTTATGTAATCAATTTTAGAAAATAATATTACATATTTAATATTAAATAACATTTAATACCAAATAGTAAATAATAATTATGTCGTCAGACTCCTTCGAAGTGTCTTTAAGGTGGACAGTGTTAGGAAATAGAGAATGTAGTAATATTGGTAAGATTCTTATGCAATATAAAGTTCTACATACTAATACAAGACATATTATAACAAAAAAAAACTACAAAATAATTTGTTTCTTAATATTATTTCTCGAAGTGTATCCCCCTTTTTGGTATTGTTTTGTGAGGCAGCTTGTAACGTCAAAAGTGCAGCTTCAAACTTCAAAACGAGCAATGTGCCAACAGCCTGACACCATCTCCCCTGCCCTCCAGTGACGCCCACTGCTTTACAAGAACCACCCACACCGACCCACACCCATCCTGTCACCCATCCTTGTGCTCCCCTGTGATCCAGTTTAAATCCTGTCCTTGCATACGCTAAAATTAAGATTTATGAAGGTTGTAAAAAACAACAGCGTCACCAGTGGGCCAAGTACAACAACAAATATTGGACAATGAACAGGATAGAGTGGGCCATATAGTTAAGGAGAAAGAGACGGGATGAGATGTACAAAAATTTTAACACCCAAAATGATTACAAATGAAAGTGAAGGATCGAGTTTAATGCTGTCGCTTAGTAAGCACATTTTCGACGTCATCTGGCCGGGGATTACATTTAAGCCTTAAATAATTACCAAAATATACATACACTTAACAAATCCAATCACAAGTATTTCTAAAGTACAACAAGCTAGCATCCAACGCAATGTTTTAAATAATTATAAAATAAATTGCCACCCGAAACCGAAAACAAAACCGATTCCCCACTTTTATTGACAAGCTAATTAATGCCAACAGTTAGTTGACCACATTACGCCTAATTAATTGTCAAATAACAAAAAAAAAATACATAGTTGTAAAAAAATATAATAATATTTAATTCGCACACAACACAAACGAAACAAACATTTCGGTTTTCATTATGTATTCAGTGTAATTATTTTTCCCCCCCAAAAAAAGTGTTGTTTTTACGACAAAGTTCATTTAGTATTTTAGCTTGTAAGCCGAGATTAAAAATTCCATCTATTTAGTGCATTAAACAAAGGCCATAAAAAATTATTAAAAGTGAGGAGGTTGGTGAGGAAAAAGGAAAAAATTGACTAAATGCAAATGACGTGAATTTTTAGTAAATTAATCGATGGAAATGGAAGTCGACCTCTGGCCGGCAGGAGGTAGGATAGAAAAATAATTCTGTCAACACACGAAGCTTTTGGGGGGAAAATCAGAAAGCAAAGGCATGTGGCCTCTGCTGATGAAAGGAAAATTGTGGGGAACCAGGGAAATTTTTGGGGAAAAACTGTTGCAACATGAACACGAGAGCAGCCAGCCAACACCCCCACACACCTCAACACCAACAAGCCGAACTAAGCGCTGCAAAAATTTAATTGTGCCACCAAATGGAAGAAATGCTACACATTTTTACAGGGATACTTTCAAGTTTTTAGAAGGGTAGGGAAAAATTTAATATTTTGAAACCAAATTCAAAAAAATAATTAGCTTACCATTTAAGTATTGTTTTTCTAAGACGCAGCCACTGCTTTTATAAAAGAAATTCCTGAAAAAATGTAAGCCTTTTAATTCCAAAAACAATTAAGTTTGTATTTTATAAAGAATCCTTGTTTAATGTGAGTATTTATTTAAAAAAAAAAACATAAGAGTTCATATATTGATGTCTTGATAAAAAAGAAAAACAAAAAACACTTCAATGTGTGCGTTACATGGAATTAATTGGAAAGATTTCTTTCCAAAACCATACTAATTCTAATGTTGAAATGTGATGAGAGCGTTGCTTAATTATTAAAGAAAAAAAAAGTGGCAAACGGATATTTGGTTGCAAAATTAAACACTCAACTCCTCGTCGCTATCGTAGCTATTGGGGCATGCCGGATTCCGACAAGGACGGGCAATGCCAGGGGTAACACCAAAGTCATCAGGATCAAGGCGTTCAGGATTGCTCTCTTCATAATAAAATCCTTCAGGCCCAGGACCATTGTCTTGAGGACTACTGCCTCCGAAGCTTAAGTCTCTGGTCTCAGTACCACTGTCTCCCAAACCTCCAGTGCCATCGTTTCCAGTAATCTCTAAAGTAACAATGCCTCCAAAGCTTAAGCCTCTAGGCCCAGGACCACCGTCATCAGGAACTGCAGAATTGTCACCTTCAAAAACATGACCTCCAGCTCCACCGTCTCCTCCAGTTTCTTGTTTTATCCAGACAGGAATAGTTCCTCCAAAGCTTAAGTCTCCAGGCCCTCCAGGACCAGGACCACTGTTTGTAGCACCTACAGCATTTTCACCTTGAGGAACATGGCCTCCAGCTTCACTGTTTCCAGCACCATTGCCTCCGAGACCTTCGCCTCCATTTCCTTTTTTTATCCAAAGAATGCTCCTATTCCCTGCAGCACCATTGCCTCCAACAACAATGCCTGCAAAGCTGAAGCCTCCAAGAACGGGACCACCGCCTCCAGTACCTACGACGACAGCCTCTCCTCCTCCACTACCTTCAGGATCTCCTCCTTCAGGACCTCCGGCTCCAGTACCACGGCCGCCACAGGTAAAGGCTTTGGAGCTTCCGCCTTCACCACCTTTTTCCAAAATACTCCAAATAATGCCATTAGGACAACGGCCTCCAGCACCACTGATTCCAGCATCACTGCCTGCAGGACCATTACCTCCATCATAAGATTCCATCAAAATACAACTTCTAGTAAGACGGACTTCAGCACCTGCAGCCCCATTATCTCCAGAACTACTGCCGCCAAACGTTAAAGCACCACTGCATCCAGGACCTTCGCCTTGAGAATTTCCGCCTCCAGCCCCACTGCCCCCAGCACCACTGCCACTGGCTTCACTCGTTTCGATGCGCCGCTTCTTGGGAGCCGGATAGGTAATGGCTAGCTGATTGCGCTGATTGGACCCAATGCTGGCCGAGCCATCTTCCACAAAGATGCTACTGATCAGATTTGAAGAAGGCTGTGAGCCGCGATGCACTGACCCTAAGGAAGAATCAGTAATGCTGGCGGGGCCTGGGGCTTCCACGAAGATGCTGCTGACCAGATTTGAGGAAGGCTGGGGGCCACGAATCACTGACCCCAAGGAAGAATCAGTAATGCTGGCGGGGCCTGGGGCTTCCACGAAGATGCTACTGACCAGATTTGAAGAAGGCTGTGAGCCGCGATGCACTGACCCTAAGGAAGAATCAGTAATGCTGGCGGGGCCTGGGGCTTCCACGAAGATGCTACTGACCAGATTTGAGGAAGGCTGGGGGCCACGTATCACTGACCCCAAGGAAGAATCAGTAATGCTGGCGGGGCCTGGGGCTTCCACGAAGATGCTACTGACCAGATTTGAGGAAGGCTGGGGAGGCATTGACCCTAAGGAAGAACCAGTTTATTTACAAGATCATGACATGGGTCGACTTTATATTACCTTCAATAGTAGTGGCAGGAGTTCCTACAAATTCGTTCAAAGTAATAGGAGCTTCCGCTAGCTCTGGAGCCGTATCCACAGACATGCGTCTAGGGGTTTCATCGTTCTCCTCTTTAGGAAGTTCATTAAATTTATGGTAAAATTCGAACCCAGAAAAAGATCTCGGAGACATCGAGTCCAAAGCCGTCATAGAGTCATCCGACGATGCGGCTGGAAAAATGGGTTTATAAATTCGTCTAGTCTTATCTAGTCTGGCAACTTTTTGCAAAAGGAAACTGGGCATCTTGGTAAAGACGGAGAGATCACAAGGCAACCACTTACCTGCATCGAAATCGCATTGTGACACTTGTGTTTCGGCGTTGGTCATCATATCGCCTGTCTGGGTTTCTGCATCGTTGACAATCCGCCGAGGATTAATGCGACTAGTGCTAGGATGTCTGCGTCCCGATGAAGTCGATGGCTCGGTGTCCAAACTAGCATTTTTGTTATTGAATCCTGAACCCGGCTTGCAGCCATTAGATGAACGAATCGGGACAGGTTTCTGGACCTGGGCCGAGGATTTCTCTGAGGCGGAAGCTTTTATAGGTTTGAACGATGCTGATAATTGGATGTGTTAGGAAAATATATTATAATAAGGAAGTTATATATATACTTACAATTTCCATAAGAAAGGAATCTATTAACCCGCGGATTCGTCAACCAGGCACTCCGCGGAATCGGACTAGTGGGTACCAAGTTGGCTGCCAAATTTTCATTGTCAGAATCCGAGGAATCGGGTTCCGGACTAGTAAATAGACGTCGCATGTGTGCTCCGGATCGTGGTGGATTGTTAGTCGGTGCCGAGCCGATGCGTTTGGGTCGTTCTGGTGGCTTGAGCTTATCCGTCGACATGTCGTCAATGTTCATTTTCTGACCACGGTCCGACATGATCCTAAAAAGAAATTGAAAAAGAAATATAAAACATTTTAAATTATAATTCAAACAATGTTTATGTTAGAAAATGGCACACTTAAAGGAGGAGGTTGTACACCCAAAAAATCGAATGTACCAAGTCGCAGCATTGCGTTATTAGATGTTCCAAAATAATAAATACCAAGCACAGCATTTTTTTTTTGTCAAATTGGCGCGAACACGAAGCAGATGATAAACATATATACATACATACATATGTGTTGCTAAAAAACTGTTAAGCTAAATATTATTTATTGCGCAGACACTTTTATGTTAACCACAAGATCTGAAAACAAGCTATCAAAATTTATAATTTTAACTTTCTTTTTCTTGAAGTGCGAAAAAACCAATTTTTTAGGTTAGGGAATGGCACGTTTAGAAAGTTGTTAGCTAAAGTTGTCAAAAATATGTATGTACATAGAAAAGTACTTAGAAAACTTCGCGCATGCGCGGTTATTGTTCCCAACCGAACCAATCTGACCACGTTTAGAAGGTTAAAAGTCGAAAAAATCTGTGCGAAAACTAAAAAACTCCAATGCGCAGACGCAACGTATGAATTCTAGAAAGCAGGCAAAAGATTCATAAACTTTTTATTTTCTCAGAAGCAACGCGACACTTGAAACAAACAAGGAAAAAACACACATCACAAATGTTTCTTATATTAATTACCGAATAAATTGAAGAACGTATATAATTAAATACGATTAAGCACTCAAATAAAAATAAAACTGGTTAAATGAATGTAATAATGGAAACTTACCTCTTGCCGGCAAAATCAGATGCCAAACAAAAATCTTTGTTTCCACGAATTCAGTAAAAAACAACCCGAAACTTTAAGCGAGCACTTATAGAATAAACAATATTCTTTCAGGTTTATGATTATTTCACTGATCTTCAAATAAACTAAACTAGATGTTTTAAGATGAAAAAGTTGCCACCAGAAACACTATTTCAGCCAAAAGTCACGCGGGAAAGGAAGCTTCGCCTTCTAGAGGTGGGCAAACTGTTACGATGACACGAGCGGAAATGGGAATAAGAGTAGGGATGGGAGAGAGGTAGAGTTGAAAATGCCATTAAGTTTCCATTTGGCATAAAGCTAGAAAATGTGAATATTTCTTGCCGCTATGAAAATGCAAACGACTTGCAGCCAAATGGGGTGCTCTAATGAACCAGGCTATTATGAATATGGGCCTGGTGGGAATCTGCAATATTTCCCTTTTTCGTTTCACTATTTTTTGGCCCGATAACGTTAATGACTTGGCTGGAAAAATTATTTATATATATACATATATATGTTTATTATTCTCTTTTCCACTTTCTGGACAAAACGAATAATAAAAATAAGCCCCAAGGAGAACACAATAGATAAATAAATCTTGGCAACCTGAATCGGACACCGTTTTGCTGCGGCTTTTCAGCTAACAAGATAATCATTTGCCTCAACCCAACCTCCCACCAAAATATGTCTTATTTTAAATAAGTAAAAGGGTCTAGCTTTAATTTAGCTAATAAAAAATAATTCAAAGTATATATTCAGCTAAAAATCGAAGAATGGATTCGCGTGCTTAGTGGCAACCCTCAACTAAGCATGTCACGCATCTCCTCACTAATAACCGTTTTTAATGAAAAATATTTAAGGTATTAGTGGGACCTTAAAAGTAAACAAAAAACTTAAAAATAAACTAATTCAATTTGGCAAATAAAAAGTATTAAAGAGATTTGAAAAAAGATGAACCCAAATTCACTTAACTAAGCCTTGATATCAATTATCTAAACAAAAAATATAACAGTCCCTTTCAGAGGCACTTTCACTTCGTTAGAAAAACCTGTCCAAGCCTGGATGAGTCCCAAATTAACGTCAACATTGATATTGGCCTTATGGTTTGGCTGGCTAAGCGCTAACGAGTTGGCAGAATCCCACTCACCTAATTTTATCATAAGGCCTGGCAGAATCCCTACGGAATGAGCTGCTACTGTGGCTTCTTTATGGCTATAAATTTAATTTTCTTAACTAAACCTGTAACATTTTTAATTTCCGTTTATTTCAGACTTTAATTACCAGACTAAAACAGACTTTAATTACCTAAAAAATTTATAAAAAACCTTAAAATCCAATTTCCGAAATATCTGTGTTACACAACACTGATCCTCTCGCTATTTTGAATCTGGTCACATTATAAACATAAGCTTTATTTACAAACAATCTCAGTTTTATTGAAATTATACCAAAGTTTAGCTGTATTTTAGGCCATGATCCAGAGGCAGCGCCACTCCTTCAAAGCCAGGTTAGTTGTTAGTTGGCCATGTTCATTCAAATGCGGTCCTTACCGGCCGTGTTTAGTTTTCCGGTGTGTGGTTTTCGCGGTTTCCGGTACCGTCCATTAACATGTGTGTACATATATATATATATGTATTTATTCCGTTTTTAGACCTCGGAGCAATGGCACTGGCTGATTTGGAAATCCATATATGTATGTATGTACATACGTGCATATTTCATGGCTGGAAATATGAAACACGTACCTACGCCGTATGGTCGCCACGAATTTGGCCAAAATTGTTGGCCGGCATTTTGGCTTTTAATTAAATTAAAACGTCTGTCGCTTTCAATATGCACGCCAGGAGGGCAGGATGCCGAGATGCCCGAGGAGAGGTTGGTCCTGAGAGGATTTGCCCAGATTTTCGACGCTTTTCGGGACTTTGGCGCCGATTTATAGTCTAATTTGTGTGGCATCGTTTTAATGGAGACTCCAGCACCAAAAAACAAATACAAAATGCTCCAACCCGAACCCGAACCCGAGCTTGGCGAGCTGGTGTGCTAAGCCGTCTATAAGCCGTGTTTCATTTTTAAGCTCTCTCTGAATATTCTCCCATAAATATATACATATATGTACATCATATACATAAATATGTTTATATGTAAGCATTAAATGGAGCGGATTAAGCTGGGAAATTTCTGTAATATAAATATTATGACGGGCTTTGGTAGAAGCTTGCACATTTAAACTGCAATAAAACAGAAAGATAAATAACAAATGGAAAAGGTAATAGTTAAGATTAAGTATATGGTTTTGTATGAAATTTTTTAATTAGGAACTATTTTTCTTGGCAAAGGATAAAGATTGAATTTTGTCTTGTCCGTATTAGCTTATTAAATATTAGTAAATGGGTTCACTTGTTCATAAATCCTAAATAGCCGTTTTGTCTAATCCTTTTTTGAGCAAATTTTAAACTTCACTAATATTAGTTTAAAAATTAGACCCAAAAACTTGTTAAAAACTTGACTAAAATTATTTGACTACTTAAGATTTAAATTTTCAATTCCATAAACTTTTAAAGATGCAAGATTGTAAATATTGAAATTCGTATAATGAATGCCTTCCAAGAAACAAGTAATTGCTTTAAAATGATACTAAAATTACAATACTTTATTGCAGTTCTTCAAGAATTCTAATCCCACAGCCAATGGCATTCCGTTTGAAAGTAAATTAAGCATAAAATTCCCTTGTTTGCATAATTTTCAGGTGTCCTGTGGCTTTCACTCAATTTGTGTAATTCGTCCGACAACAGCAGGCAACACAACTATTTGGTATCCACCGGCAGGCATTGGCTCGAAAACACGGCAAAAGGCGCAATGAAGTTGGCTGAGAAGATGACAGATTTTTGCGGCCATGTCAAGCGACGTTTTGGGGCTTAGTTTTTGGTAGCCAGGTCCTGGAGAAGTTTCACCTGGCAATACGATGGGTTGGCTGCCGGATGCTGGATGCTGGCTGCTAGCTGCTTGGAATGGAGCAAAGACCAGGGCATAGTTGTCTTGGCTTTTGTTGCAACAGATACTTGCGGTGCAACTACCAACCCGGCCACATCCCAGAAACTATGCCAAAGGAGTCGACTTTGCCAGTTCGCCAGTTACGCCAGTTTCAGCGAAAATGGCAACACAACTTTGGCCCAGACTTAGCCTCGTCCCTTCACCAGAAAATCCGTCCATTCCCAAGGAGTAGATTTTCGGCAACACAAGTTTATGAATGCCAAGACATCAGGTCTTCAAGTCTATACTTTTTTCACACTTACTTGTAATTTTTAGACTTTATTTTCAGGTTTCAAATAAGTATGAAGTGGATAAGGCTTGATTGACGTTTTAAATATAATTTTTTGGCCAAAATAATCCACATTTACTTCCACAGACGTCCTACCACATGGACCCTCTTCACTGGAGAGTATGAAAATGTTCCAAGCTATTTTCGGCAAATACTTTATAGCTCCCCCTGGCTCATCATCGCAGCTACAAAGTTGTTCTTGGTCTGAAACAAGGCTTGAACCGAACTGAGCCAAGTTTCCAGAGCGCGTAGGCAGCTGTCTGAAAAAAGCCCAGCGGCCAAGTAACAAGGATATAACAAAAATCGACCTCTTCGCAGCAAACATGGGAAAAAATAAGTAAATATATTATAAAAAGAGTAACTATTTACTAATTACTTGAGTACTTATATTGATAGCATTATAGCATTTATTGGCAATAGTCCTAGGTTAAATTATGTATGTATTTATTATGTTTTGAATGTTAAATTGTTTTTATAATAAATGATAATTTTTTAAAGAACTTGAAAGGCTATGACAATACAGAAGGCTTACTTTTGCTGATTATTTAATTAGGTTTAAGATATATAACTTGAAATACAGTAAGTTTGTTCTATAAATTTACCTTTATATTGCTAATTAGTAGATTCTTGAGGTACAACCTTTTTTAATCTTGAAATAAAACCAGTGGCAGTCAATTACTGCCTACATAAGACCAAAATATGTTGCCATTTGCCACAGGCTCGACTCACGAGTCCAGGCTGCGGGATACAGGATCCAGGACATGGCGGACGAGTGGCGGCCATAATCCCGCCAAAATAGACAAGAAAATCCTTTAGCATGCAGCATCAGTAGTAACTCCCGCTCAAGACCATCCCATCCGTAAACCAGAAACCCCAAAACCCAACGGGGTTTCCTCTCGTCTTTTATTTTATTTGATTTTTTTCTCGTTTGTCCGGAAAAACAGACAGCCGAACATGTAGGAATGTTTGTTGGGATCAGGATCTGCGGGTCCTCCGCTTGTTTGTCCCTATTTGCAGATGCATTATGTGGGATTTGGCCTTTGCATTCGAATAAAATATCAAGTTGCCGAAGTCGAGGCTGGAGCTTTTCCTTTTTCTTGCCGCACGACTTTTGCAATTTCAATTTTCGCCAAAAAAACGAAACTTGCAACCAAGAAATGGAAATAAATCCAGATTGAAAAATATATATTTTGCCAAAGAAAAAAAACTAGCAGTTCTTCACTATTCGACTAGATTTGTTGTATATATTTTTCATGTTTTGGGGCAACTGGTCAAATCTAATTACATTTCCCCAATACAGCTAAGAAATCAATTGCAATGTTATGACACACAAGTCCCCGCATGAAGACGAAAACTTTTCTGATTATCTTGGCCAAGTTTTGCGGCCAAAACTGAACTTCTGGCCAAAAAAAAAAGAACTTGGCTCAAGTGCCATATTACATGGTTTAGTGATTGGTAAACTTGGACTGATTTATTTATAAATTATTAAGTTACTTAAAATGGGACAAGATTGGAAGAAGAGAAGATTAGGGCATAAATTATAGCTTGACTGCGAGTAATATAGTTATTAAAAATGCGAGATTTATTTTATTTTTACTAATAAAATATTTTTCATTTGTTTAATTTTTTTTTTTTATGGTATAAGATTTCCTTAGGACTACTATTTACATATTCCCCCATTTTTGCTTGAAAATAAATCTCTCTTCTCTATAACTCTTACTTTAAGTCCTTATGAAATATTTAATATTGAACATATATAAATTTTTATATCTTATAAATATTAATTAAAGTCTAATAAAATTTATCTATATCATTTAAAAGTATATTTTATATTTTATTATCAAATAAGTTAAAAATTGTTATTGCAAAGGTCTATTTGTTTTCAAAAAAACGTTGTAATAAAATCAGAGGTACAATTTTCAAAATTTACTTAATTTATTATCCTTATAATAATCTTTTTCTTACCCTTATCTATTATATAAGTTTAAGGATCCATCTCTGCCATTAGCATAATTGGTAATTTTGTAACCCATATGTTACGGCAATTGGCCAAAACCACAAATCGTTGCCACCCGGTTGACTTGTCTGGCTGCGGCGCTAAAATAAATCCAAGTCGAGGCCCAAAAGCAGATATATATTACATAATACATACCTATTTGTAAGTACCATATGTAAGTATGTATGAAGATCTCAATGTAGGTTGAATTGCCGCACATATTTTATATGAAAAAGAAGGGCACTTGAAAATTGGAAATTCATGCATTATATCTTATAGTACCCTCGATTTTTAGGGGTATATTTGTAGTTTCCAGTGAAAATTAAATTATGGAAATTAAAGTATTACATTTAAATATATTTTTCCATTAAATAATATGCATTTATTTTTAAAACAATAATGTATGTTGGAGACAAAGTATCTATAACTATTAAGCACAGCTTAACTAATTTATTAATTAAATATAAGGCAAGCATTTTTGGAATTTAGTTTATTCCTAATTTAATAATAAGGAATTATACTTATTTCACATATTTCCCATATCCTTGATTTATAGGGTACTTGGAACAAGGATTTTTTTGTGTGAAAATAGTTTCTACTTGATTTTTTATGTGTTTGTTATTTTTTTCATATTTTTTTTCTTAGAACTAGACTTTTGGTTAGATTTATGTGGCTCGGTTTGCCCACTTTCACCCGGCGGCCATCCTGCAGCTGCAGCTGCAGCTGCACCATTTTGCAGAGTCCTTCGTCCTTCGACCCTTTTGTTTCATCTCTAGCTTTGTCTCGTTTTTGGGGAAGAGGAAGTAACGTTCTTTGGCTTTGGCTTATGTTTCAGTTTCAGTTTCAGTTCCTACAAAATGTCATTTGAATATTTTCGCGTATGTGCTTCCTCAGTCTTGAGCCGGGACGCCAGCCCAGCCCGAGTCCTGTGTCCCAAATCCTGAGCCCTGACTCCCTAGTCCTTAGTCCTTGACTATCATATATCTGGCAATTTCCATCTCTATCTAAAATTGTTTGTGTGCGCTTGTGTTTTGCACAATTTTTGTGCATTTTGGAGCAGCTAACACAATTTGTGTGTGCCTGATCTTATGATAGTCCTGTCTACGTTTCCACCCCTCCATCTCTATATATGTAGGTACACATATGGTGGAATATATACCTATACGTATGTATGTATATCCTTCGGCTATCCCACTTTTTAGCGACGCCTGCTGCCACTAACTACAAGCTGACTGTCGCTATAATTTTCCAAAAGGATTTACAATCCTAAAATTACTTCCTAAGCCATCCAACCATGTCCTAGTGCTCGTCCGCGTCCTCGTCCTTGTCGTTTCGTATGAGGAGTTTGTAGGGAGCGGTGGGGAATGTGTGGGAGAAAGAACTTACTGCCTGAGAAGTCGCCAAATGGCAACTCGCGAGGCTTTTCGTCTTTTTCTCCAGTTTGCAAGCGAAAATCCTCGCCGGAATCCACATCTCCTTCTTGGGTTGGCGATGGAAAACAATTTAAGGCTTCTCTAAATTCAGAAAATATATAGAAATAAAAGACTAATTATTTAAATATAATTATTCTATATATGATAAGTTTATAAATAAGAAAACTTAAAAAAAATGATATTAAAAAAAAAAACATCTTCTCACGCTGTCATCGGTAGTTTCTAGGGACTTGTTTTTTTTTTTGCTGTGGCCTAACATGCCAATGTCTTGGTTCCTGGATCCTACTTCTTGGCTTCGGGATATCATTTTTTTTGTATACCAGACTTTCTTTGGTTCGTCCTTGCATTTATTCTTTTTTTTTTTGGGGGCATGTTGTCATCCTTAGGCTTTTGGCGTTGTTCAACTTTCGCCAAACGCCCACATGAAATGGCAGCTCTTGTCCTTGTGCCTTACCCTACTCCCCCCGTCCGATTGCCCTGGCCTCGTTCCCCTATTACTACTGATATTTTTCCTTTATTTTAGGAACGTCCTTTTTTGACAGAATTGCGTTCTCTAAGTCATACTGTCGTTGCCTTTTTGAACTTTAATATACTGCAACATTTATGTGTTTGTGTCTCTGTCTCTGTCATTGTTTGTTCCCCTCTCTGTCGCCTGTGGACGTTCCATCTCTTTCCTGAGGCCCCTTTCTGTCTCGTTTCCATCTGCCAAAGACAGTCGACAGCTAAATTTCACCAAAGGCGTTGATATAATTCACCCAAACACACACAGACATACCACATTCCAAATATTTTAAGTAGCAACAGAGACGGCTTTAGCTCGTTGGAAAGAGCCAGGCATACGTATAGGATAGGGATAACATAGGTAAGAGTCCTTAAGTCCCTGCTAGTTCCAATAGTAATTCCATTTATAATTTACTGTCGTCGATTTATAAATGAGCCTAAGCCATCAACGCTCTACCGGCTTCCGGATGCCAGATGCCAGGACCCTAGTCCTTGTCCTTTCCATTGCCGGTTGCCGTTGCCTGTCTTTTTCGAGAATCCTGGCTGAGCAGCAACCATCCTGGTGTTGTCGCCTCCCCATCCTTTCAGCAAAATTCCTGGTGCTGGCAAAGCTGGCAAGTGCTTAACATAATTTTAGGCGCATTTGTGGCATTAACATGGGGGGTATTTGCATACAAAAGGCCATCAGTGCGAGTGTGTGAAATGCACTGCCAAAAACTATTAACCATATTCAAAAAAAATGGCTTAACCTTTTTTTATTATTCAAAATTTTGTTTCAATTAATTGATTTACTTTGAACTGTAAAGGATCACAATTTTTTAGATTTTTTTAAAATACATTTATTTATCAAACATATAACCACAGATCTTTAGTTTTTAGATTCTATACTTAGACATATAGAAGGAAGAAACTGGTTAAAAAATACTTAAGATGAAAATAATTAAAATGTATATACATGTATTTTTTTTGTATACCAGACTTTCTTTTGTTCGTCCTTGCATTTATTCTTTTTTTTTGGGGCATGTTGTCATCCTTAGGCTTTTGGCGTTGTTCAACTTTCGCTGAACGCCCACATGAAATGGCAGCTCTTGGCATATTTATTAAAACTTTATTTATTAAGAAAGACTTTATTTAAAAATGAATCATACAGATAGAGTCCTTTCTCTCAGTGTATTTATTCCTTGTTCGTATTAGGGGCCACAGGTGTGGCCTGTTGTAAAAGCTCTTAAGTCGACCCATGATGTCCGGCTTTTGTCCGGACACCGGAGCTCTATGAACATACAAACCCAAACGTATGTACCTGAAACTAATCGGAGCACATTTCTAATGCCGGAACAGACCTTATTACAATTTCAAAAATAAAGGAAGTAAACCAAAATAGTTTTTTCTTAAAATTTTATTTTTCAAACATAGATTAACCAAGTAATGAAAAATGCCGAAAATTTTGAAACGGTCCAACCTATAATCCATATTCTATGTTCCAGTCCAGGCCAGTTGGTATGGAGTAGACGCAGCATATAGAATATTGACAATCGTGGCACAGAAACCGGAATAGTAATATTTAATAAAATAACATATCCATAATTTTGTCAAAGGGATAAAGGGGTACTAAAACAGTCCACGAGTCTGCAGCAATACGAGGTTCAGGAGAACCAGGGAAAATCCATGAAAAAAGAATTGGGCTAAAAACTGTAAAGAAAAAATTAAAATAAAATTATGCACAATAGGTGATTATTTTCTTTTTAACTTACTCTTGGCATTTTGGTGCTAGTTGTTTTGATGAGTTACTTTTCGATCTATTTTCCGAGAGGACTGAAAAATTTGGCAGACTTATTCTTTTTTGATCACACCCGTCATGAATAAAATATTCTGATGAACTGACTGGTTACAGAGAGCATATAGACATGTATGGATAACTGACATCTCATAGACTGCTATGGTTGAAATTTGAATGAAAGAATTTTTATCAATACTTCTAATCCAAAACTTATGATCCAGTCCAGGCCAGTCGGTAAGGTGTAGACGTAGTACATAGAATATTGAAAATCGTGGTACAGAAACAGGAATAGTAATATTTAATAAAATAAAATATCCATTATTTTATCAAAGAGATAGAGCTGTACTACAATATTCCACGAGACTGTAGCAATACGAGGTTCAGGAGAACCAGGGAAAATCCATGAAAAAAGAATTGGGCTAAAAACTGTAAAGTAAAAATTAAAATACAATTACGGAATTACGGAGATTATTTTCTTTCTTTAAACTTACTTTTGGCATTTTGGTGCTGGTTGTTTTGATGAGTTACTTTTCGATCTATTTTCCGAGAGGACTAAAAAATTTGGCAGACTTATTATTTTTTGATCACACCCGTCATGAATCAAATAATCTGATGAACTGACTTGTTACAGTGAGCATATAGACATGTATGGATAACTGACATCTCATAGACTGCTATGGTTTAAATTTTTACGAAAAAAATTGTTATAAGAAGTTAAGACTACCAGACGTTGTACAGACTTTCCCATTGCATTATAAATTGTATTTTTTGCTTAATGAAAAAAATCTTTTTAAATTATTTTCCGCCTTTAAGGATTATTTAAAGTAATTTTTTAAACCTTTTGGGTTTACAACTAAAGCCATATGTCACAAATATAAAACCTAATGTGCTCAGCATACCCACAAGTATTTAGCATATGCACGATGCTTTTCGCCATTTGTTATTTTCAGCCAGTCGAGACGAAGGCATTCAGATCCCTAGTGCTAGGTCCGTGGTCCTCCTAGCTCCGGCACATTCTACCCCAAAAACTTATAAAATTATGATACCCAGAAAGCAACAAATTTTAATTGCAAGAAAATTTTCGTAATTCACGCACACAGACCGAGGGAAACCGAGAAAGCGAAGCACCGCATGCATCCAGTAAACTTATCGCAGATACAAATGTATCTAAAGTGGCACAGAACCAGGTACAGTGTTGACCCCTTGCACGGCCAGACATGTTAGGGATTGGGGCAGTTTGGGGGCTTCACTGTGGCACGGGACGGTACGATAGAGACGACGGCATCGCCGTAAACCAAGACAAAACGCTCTAAAACTCGCTAAAGTTTTTTCGGTGGCCATGCAACTGTAACTGTGTAACTTCCACGACTTGTCTGTCCTGAATGTCTGCGATATCCTGGAAATTTCCGAGAGGATGGATATGCACCGACTCTAGAAAAGTATAAATAAATTTAATGTTGGAGAATGATGAGAATCGATCTAGAAATCGTTTAAGGTACTCCGCTTGAGAATCGAATAAGAACTGGGGAAAATATAGCCATCACCGTGGGCCTTATAGGTGAAAACTCCATTTTCAAGGGATCCCATCAAGAAAAAAGGAAAAAATTCTGAAAAATATTTTTTCTCAGGATTTTGATGCAGAATGGTGGCGAATCAGTCTAGAAATCGTTTAAGGTACTCCGCTTGAGAATCGGATGAGAATTAGGGAAGATATAGACATCGCAGTGGGCCCTACAGGAGAAAACCGCATTTTCAGGGGATCCATCAGGAAAAAATGAAAAAAAATCTAAAAAATATTTTGTCTCAGGATTTTGATGCAGAATGATGGAGAATCGATCTAGAAATCGTTTAAGGTACTCTGCTTGAGAATCGGATAAGAACTGGGGAAAATATAGCCATCACTGTGGGCCATATAGGCGAAAACCCCATTTTCAAGGGAACCCCATTTTCGGACAAGAAAAAAGGACAAAAAATATGAAAAATATTTGATCTCAGGATCTTATAAGGATCGTCCTACTATACGCGATAAATATCCAAATCTTAACTGCAAGGATATATCACTTTGGCTCCACCTAAAGCAAGCTTTCTATTCTTTTGTTTTCATTTTTATTATATGTAAGAACTTTTCTGAATTTTCCCCAGCTTTTTTGATTTTCCGCATTTTTTTATTTAGGTAAAATATCATGTAAAAATGTTACTTTAAGAAATCTAACTTTAAAAATTCTTTAAAAATAAATACGTTCCCAAATAAGTAATTTGTAAAATGCTAAGTACTTTGTGGTCGAAATACCCTTTAAAAAGTGGATGTTTTCCTATATCCCTGAAAATCCTGTAGCCATATTCATACATGTATGTGTGTGTGTATGTACATGTTTGTATTTATATACAGATGTGTGTGTGCATTATAAATTTATTTAGCAAAAGCGCGTAAAGCGCATAAATTGCTGAGCACAAGCTGCTCAAGGGTTGCCTCCTCCCTTACTGTTCTCCTCTGGTTCTGGCCAGAAAGAGGATATGAGTCCTGGCACAGGATAACCGGAGACGGGGGTGTGGCCATTCCCATGAATGCAAGCGCCCACTTATATATAAACGTGTCATGTGAGTATGTGTGTGAAAAATTGAAATTTATTGTTATTGTAAGCTTCAGTGCCCATGGACACAGGAACACAAAAACACACAAGGAATAAAAAGATATGTTGGGGGAATGGTGGCTGCACCTTGTGCTATTTGCCGTTGAATCACTCGCCGACAAAATAATAATGTAATAATAATTTTTCCAACTCGTTAACACACGAACCGTAAACGTGTGCGTTCTTGCACGCACATATCCTTTCAGCAACTTGATCCTTGGATCTCCGTCCTCGTCCCCTGGGATAATATTAATGATACGAAGCTAAACACAATCCCACAAAAATCGGACAAATTAAAAGCATGCATGTAGTTTGTGGAATACCCTACTATTAATTACAATTATCTACCCTTTAAGCTCTAGTCTGGATTTTTCTTGATTTTTCACTTTAATTTATGAATATTTTTCAGACATTTCTTGCCACGTTTTCCGAGGAATAAATTATTTTAATTCAAAGTTCAACGTCTGTGTGACACCTGGTGGTCGCTCCTTCATCTTTCATCATTTTTCTAATTCGATATTATTTTTTCTTTCAAAACACAAGAAATCCATTTATAAAATGAAAACTGAACGGTGCTGGGGGAATGTCTTTCATGGCAGGAGCACAACGAAAATAATTGAAATCAATTCAATGGCATAAATTGATTTTAATTAAAATATCCACAGAAAAAAATTATAAAAAAAAGAAAAAAAAGCCAACTTTGGGCGGAACTGACGTTGATAAACATTTGCTGTTAAAACCGGTCGTATATCGCAAATATCGGATATAGTCGAACGATCCCGGTCGTTCCGTGTGTGCTAAGTTTCAAGTTGATAGTCGATCAAAAATATATATACTTTATAGGGTAGGAGATATCTCCTTCACTGCGTTGCACACTTTTGCACAAAATTATAACACCCTGTTCAAGGGTATCATTATATATTTCAGAAAGCTGGAGGTTTTAGGAAGAGGCACCACTGTAAATTTTCAAAAATAATTTAATATTTTAATTTTAAAATGTTAAAATTCACACTATTTATTCTTGATTATTTTTTAGAATGAACACTAGCGGAAATTCCATCTTCAAGCGATGCTAGATGACAACTAAAGTCTGGAAATCTGGAAAGTTTCGATTATACAGCGATCCAGAGAGTGACCTGGAAGAGAGGAGAACAAAGTCCAGATAGAGCGGCTGTTTTTTTTGTTGTTCAAAAAAACTAGAGAAATAGAATAGAGCTTGTGGCATGGAGACATGCAAGTCCGGAAATGAGAAAATTTGGTTGTTGGAGCAATGAATGATCAACAAAGAGATTAATTGTGTTATTTGTCTATGGTCACTAGACAAAGCGCTTGATTTTTGTGATATGGTTTCTGAAAAAAGATTATGGTTGAATTTACTGGATAATATGTATAATGCCCGGTACTTATCTTTATGTGGATAATATATTTTTACTCTTTTATAGTTTCAAAAATTCCCTGAGGAATTCCCATAAACCTGTTTCTCAAAAGTATCCAATCTTAAGAATTTTACAATATTTAACCTATTGATTTGCAGGTTCATGAGTCTTGTAAAGTTCTTCTAGTTTTAAAAGCCTAGAGAGCTTATGAAAAAAAAATTTTAAGAAGCTAAATGAAACTCATAAAATTTGTGAGTATTAACCCGTTTATTCTGTTAGTTCCACATTCAATTTTCAGATCAAAATTTTGTATGTAAGGCCTGTGTGAAAGAAATGGAAAACTCCTGACTTCAAAAAATATAAAAAGGATGAAAAACTCATATATTATATAGGTATTTCTGTAGGTATGCTAAAACTGTATTTTCTATAGCTTAATAAATGTAAATAATAAAATTTCAATTAAAAAATAATTCAAAAGGTTTAACAAGCCTTTAATGGCTTGTAGGCATAAAGACTTCCTTTTCAAAAGACATTTTTAACTTTTTAGAATTGAACTTGAGACTTTGAAAATGAATTGCAGCTTTTCAATAACTCATCGACTCGTGGCATAAGTTTTTCTTCCCATTTCGCATTAGCATCCAATAGCAGTTTGTTCTAAAAAATATAGAAATGTTACATTTTTTTTGGAATTTTTAAATATTAAGCAACTTACCGGATCACTGACAGAAAGAAAACGCGTCATTTCGTTAATGTTGGTTTTATCCTCTGCAAAGTCCAAATTAAAAGAAGTTTCAATAACTATGGTTGCGTTTTTAATATTTTCCTCAATTTTAGCAATTTTAATCTTGTTATCTTCTACTGCTTTTTCTTCTTCTACTTTTGGATAAAATAATTTATTCCACAATTTCTTTAAAAAATTCCAAATTATCTGGAATATGGTTCCTTTGATTTCGGGTTTTTCTTTGCTTATTTCATTCATTAAATCTGTTTTCAAACTACTATCCATGGTGTCCAATTTCTCTTTTAAAATCCTCCTCGTATACTGAGCATTTTCCAATAGATTCAAGGATTCATTAATTTTACTCGCACCAGTCTTCAGGGCTTCGAATGTTATATTCAATATTATGTTTTGTTCATTTTCTTGATGATTTCGTTTTTTTGTATTTTGGATGAACAATTGTAACGTTGAACTCAGAGAAGTGCAGCATTCTAAAATCAAATCTCTGGAATTCTTGTACGTTAAAGAGGCATTCGAATTCAGTCTCCGAATATCGTCAAGGTAATTTTTAGCGGATCCGCCATATCCGAGCATTGAGGAGTCCACCATATTGATGGCTTTCTGAAGCTCCTCAGGCTTGAATTTTTCATTGAGATCGTTTCCATACGTGTTGACGACGTTGGAAAGACTGTCAACGGATTTTTCAATCTGCAATGGTTCCTGATCTCCACTGCAAACTGTCACAAAAATGCCCAAAAGCACTGCGAATATCACAATTATGTTCATCCTTGATGATCAAGATCAAGCTTCAAACTGAAGCTTCATCCCATATACGCTGATCTTTTATATTTCGACTGAAATTCCTATTAAAACAAATATAAAAATCAACTGAAAATGTTTTTTCCCTATCAGTCCCGAAGTTTCCATACCCAAGAAGACTTAATGGTTTCGTCGTTCTTAATACCAATATAAAATATGAAGGTCAAATTTCCGAATGTTCGTAACATTCAAAAATATTAATATTCATTAACAAATAAATTTAAAAAAGAATGTTGAAGTGAGTCTAGTTTCGATATACCCCTGAACTTTACGACTACCCTTCGTCACAATTTGAGAGTGAATAGAGATAGAATCGTTGGGTTTTTACGATGAATAAATCTTTTATAAATAAAGAATTCCTCGAATTTCCAGATGTATACATGCATATGTACATATGTAGGTGTCATGTGCTTTAATATTTAATTAAAGCTTGAGTTCTACGAAAAGAAAAATTACTTTTGATAATATAATATTGATGTTCAGTATTACTCGCAGTACTAAAGTCTTTTTAACGAAACGACTAAACGTGTATATTATCAATTAGGTAGCGTATGCGGGTTGCGTAGTCTCAATCAAATTGTTTGAAACCACTTTGTAATAATAATATGTTGATGAAAAAAAAAGATGTCTTTTCAGGGTTTTTTTCTTACTATTTAGTTAGGGGAAGTGGAATGTACATACATTTAAAAATCCTTCACAACAAATTGTTGCAGATATTAGATAGCCTCATTGCCTCTAAAGTTATGAGTTCTAATTTTTAAAATTGTAGACGAATATTCAGTTCTTACATTTCAGTAACAAATATCCCCAATTTTTGTTCAAAGTTGAGTTTCAATAAATCAAATTCGTTGTGATTGATATACAAGTATGTACATACATATGTAGTAAGATTAGTGTGGTTTTTCCGTAAATGTTCCTTATCTCGCTTCCAATATAAATTCGCTTAGCCTGTGGCCTTACACTCAGAGAAACGGATCACTCCAAAAACCCAACCACTGGGTTTCTGGTTTCTGGCTCTTGAAGTCCAAGCATTGGGGGTGTCCAACAGAACATTCTGGTCATGTTGTACGAAATACTTTATCGAAATATTTTTGAAAAATCCGCATCAATAGGACTGTATTTGATCTAGTGGGATAAAGTTAAAAGGATACTCCCTTCCTTCAGAAAAGACTAGCAGTTCTCCCAACTAAGACAACGAGAGTGGATCTATGTGTCACTTTTCCGTGTTCGTCTGAGAGCAAGGGCGTAGGCACTTGCCCCCCCCTGATCAGCCGAGGAAGTTGATGAAAATCAATAAAAATGAATCAAAATATTTTTTGAAAGGTTGAATTACTTCAACGCATTTTATATATATATATGTATATACTTTAGATCATAGATGGGCAAGGGCATGGCTCCTCGAGCTCGCCCTGTGAAAAATTCTGACTGAATCTGAATTTTTCCCCCCCCTGTGAAAAATTCTGACTACGCTCTTGTCTGAGAGTCTGTAAATCTGCAAAGGCCTCATATATGAGGCTTAATAACTGGGAGTTTATTTTGTTTGCCATACTAGTTTATAGCTGTGTACTTTTATTTCATACATTATCTATCCTCTATTTAATATATGGCTTGGATGATGATTATGAATAGGAATGTACGTGGTATTGTGTGACTACTTTATACCATAAGGATCGGTCGACCTCATCCCACAACTAACATCCACTGGTCGGTAGGCTTCCTTGGTGGCCTGGAAACTGTGTAGAATCTTCTTTCCTATCATAACGTATACCTTTTTTAAAAAATTAAAATATAGAAACTCAGCGAGTTGCATTATATATGAACTGTCTCGTAGACAAAGTTATTTATTTATATACTTTTTTACATTTCGTATATATTAGGAAATTTTGAATGTTAAGCGTTCTGAGGTAAAGTCTTCTTAGTGAGCGCTTCACACTTCTCAAACAGAGTTTGCAAAAGTGGCACAAGTCGACCTTGCGAAGCGTAATCGTTTTCCAAGAGCTGAAATTAAGTAAAATAATTATAATAATTTATATAAAATAATATAACTCCACTTACCATGGGGTTAATTTCAAGGGCCTGTAATAGGTTACTCATTGAATTATCTTTCAATTTGAAATCGGGAGTAGCCGATAGTTGGATAGCTGCTTTTATGTTTCCATCGAGCAGAGAATAACTACCTTTCTTGTCTTGCAACTGGGTTTGGCGGACCTTTGGAACATGGGTAAAAGCTTGGCTCAAACAAGTGGTAGCCTCATTGCCGAACTGTGTTAGATTCCTTAGAGAAGACTGAACAAGGATTTCGTTGCTCAGAGCATTAAACCAAGCTTTATCATTCACACTCTGATGATTGTTTTCTCGTTCGAAATAGCCGTTGGGTCCCAAGTCGAAGGTCAAATCGCGATTCATTTCCTCCAAATTCCTAACCAAGTCTTCCCTTTGCCACTTAACTGACTCCAACTGTTTGAAGGAATCCGAAACTTTGGTCAGACCGCTCTTCACTATGGTTCGGACCATATTCCACAACGTATTCTTATCTTTTTCCGATAAGCTTGACGAGCTCTGTCTAATGTAGAGGTCTAGTGTCGCCTTTGCTGCAACGCACCACTCGAACACTGAACCTTCAGCGACTTTGTAAGCGAGACGGGAATTTGAAGTCAGGGTGCGGATGCGGTCCAGGTTTTTCTTGGCGGTGCCTGGGAATCCGAGAAGCCCTCTATCCACTACATTGATGGCATTTTGTAGTTCTTTCAGTTTAAATCCATTATTGAACTCGCTTTCGAATCCTACGGCGCCATCCGAAAGACTCTGGATTCCCTTCTCGAGTGAATGGAAGTCCTGCTGATTCGCCCAACAGGAAACAAAGAGGAGTCCCAGAGGCACTGCCAACGAAAATATGCTTTTCATTTTAAAAAAAAAAGTTTAGTGAATTATTATTTGCTTCAGAGAGGTATAAGCTGCGACTGAATTTCGGATGTGGCCACAGATCTTATATACGCTGGCTTCTCAAATTCTGTATTCTCATTTTTTGACAATAAGAAATGATAACGCACAGTGTTTCTATCAAAAATATTATTTATGATCGCGTTTTTAATTAACAATTGAGAATTCTTTTGAATTTTTTTTCAAGTTTTCAGACCACTGACCCACAATACAGACTGTATTGTATTCACTGTATAGCATACTTTTAACCAAAATGATAATACCCTCTGCAAGTGTCATCTCAATGAGTGTACAAACATATTTTTTCCCTTGTTGGTATTCCCAAAACATCATTTCAGAGTCTGGGAATTGCCCGTTCTCGGAATACCTCTGATTATTGAGACATACCGCGGTTCGACAAGGTCAACCTCGTGTCAGTCCGAGCACCACGTACGCCTCGCAAGAGAAAGATTTTTAATCTCAATCTTGGAACACAAAAAAGAAAAAAAGAAGCTCGTACACACTTGCAATTTGAATTTTGGAAAAATCCAAATTTATATTTATTATTTTATTCTAATCTACATATATATGTATGTCTGCATGTTCTTTAAGAATTTAAACTCAATCCGATAAAAATTTTCAGACCTATACATTAATTTGATGCCCATAGTGCCATAAAGTGATTCAAAAACCGTGCTTCAAAAGTTCTAAAGATCTCGATACAGAGGGTATTGAGTTTAAAGATATATATTTTTTCATACGATTTTCTATATTCAAGAGGAAAATACATGTCCGACCTAATTTCTTGCAGAAAAAATACTTTCTGTAAGATTTTCTGTTGCAGTAAACCGAGTACTGGGTATCATACAGTCGAGAGAATCATAGAATTCCCGTCGTATTTTCTTGGAAATCCAAAACTATAATTTACTATAAAAGTTTAATTTAACAATAAAATATTTGTTAAGCCGATAAGCCAATTTTCAGAGAAATAGTTCAAATTTTTATATAAAGAAAGACTACATTTTTTTTATACCTTATCGCCTAGAGCGCATGTTGAAAAGTTTAAATTTTATTCATGAATCATTTTCCGAGTAAACCTTAAATTCAAAAGACTATTCAATTAAAAATGTTCAAAATGACAGAAATTTATTTTATTATTCTGCGAAATAGACTGTTACACAATTTTATAAATTTGTTTATGCTTTTTTCTTCATTTCATATTTTTTGCAATCGGCACCCAAACTTTGCAAAAGCGGCACAAGTTTAACTTGAGAATCCCAATCGTTTTCCAAGATCACTTTTTGCTTCTGAAAATAAAACCAAGCAGTCTATATTTTTCGGACTATGATCTCGGCTTCTGACACTTACCAATTCTTCCTGAGACATGCGCGTTTTCAGGGCATCAATTTTGGTCCTGTCCTCTTCCACGTCAAACTCTGGAATATTTGCCAGTTTGGCAGCTTTTTCAATTGATCCCTCGATTGGTCTAAGACCGGCTAAAACTTGGGACAGTTCATTCTTTCGATGCGCCGAAACTCTATCAAAAGTTGAATTCAAACAGTCTGCAGTCTCCGATACGAAATGGGGTCCTACTTCGTTCTGCCTAAACCGAATATCGATTTCCGCCACCAAGCGACGATTCAATGTATCATCTTTTCGTATTAAATCTTGAGTCCTCATTTCGTAGAAGCCTCGTGGACCCAGGTCAAAGTTGAAACTCCTGTGCATTTCTTCCAGATTCTGGTGCAGTTCATTCCTACGCTGTTTGACGTCTTTCAGTACTTTAAAGGAGTCGCCGATCTTGACCAGGCCTTGGCTCACCGTCGCCAAAACCATTTTCCACAGCATTTGCTTGTCGGAATCCGTAATAGGTTCATTTATGTTCCCGGTGAAAAGATTCACAGTTGAGTTGTACGAAACGCACCACTCCAATGCCGCACCGGTAGCCCTACCGTACGTCAGATAGGCGTTCGAATTCAAGTTTCGAACATTGTCCAGGTGCCTCTTGGCGGTGCCCAGGAATCCAAGCAACTGTGTGTCCACCACATCGATGGCACTTTGCAGGTCACGGAATTTAAGGTTGTTATTGAAATCGCTTTCGTAGTTGTTGACTGCGCGGGAGAGACTTTGGAGTCCCGTTTTGAAGACAGCCAGGTCCTCGGGACTGGCACTGACCGCGACAAAAAAAAAGCACAGCGGCAAGGATAATGCCAGGAATGTTCTCATCGCTAACTTTGAGGGGAATCTTAACCTGGAATATGTTCAACGAACTATTTGCAATATGACTGATTGCATCGCATTGCATCCGGGCTTTTATAGCCCGAACGATGCAATTCGCACAGAATTTTCCAATCAGAAGGAGTAATGCCAGCTATCAGTAAAGAGTAATCTGGGGGCTCTGCCACTGTTAAGTTATCAGCAAAAGGTCGAATCCGTCGGATGGGATTTCTCGGAAAAATTACATCAATTTTTTTTTTCAATTTATATCAGGGAGGTTGATAAGCCGTTATTCCAAAAATTTGTATTTTTTTGGCTTCAATTATGTACATTTTTAAGGATTTAGGTTTTTGTAAATTTTTTATTAATGTCAATTATTATTTTCATAATTTTTTTTTTGGAAGTTAATACAAAAAATCGGATCCATTCCAATGTGAAATTTTGATAAGGAATATGTATGTATAATATTCTTATATACTTACGTGTAATCTTTCTCTGTATTTTATAATCACCGTGTTGTTATCAACAACAAATTAAAAGAAAATTAATAAGTTTTGTATTTTTACAGAGACTAAATTCAGAGATAAGTAAATTGGAAAAAAAAAATTCTCTTTAAACTGACTCGATTTTTTCAGTTTTATTTTTTAAGAGTCATGTGTTCCAATTCTTGGAAATTAAGTAATAACGACGTTTTAAATATTATTTTTTTATATTTTATTTTATTATATTTTTGATTAAAAGGTGCAATTTAGTAAGTGTTAGTAATGAGTCATGTTTTTCATTGTTGTTTGAATCTATTTCCACCTCACTGACCCCGGTACTGTAGTCATCAGAGTCATTCTGTTAGGCCTGACGTGGGTCCAGCTGTGTCATCTGGAATATTATACCTGGAATCTACATAAATCACCTCGCTTAATAGGGATTCGAACTATACAACTTTTCTCTCTGAATCATAATGCTGTGAATCAGCTTCTAACTTATCTCTGGACTCGAAAAGAAATTTTTTTTCTCATTATTTTATATTCCTTTCCAATTAAATATAAAAGTTTGAAAAGAAAGAAATTTGTTTGATATTCCTCTGCGTAATATACTGGTATAGATATTAAAAAAGCTTATAATATTTTTCAGATATTACTGTAAATTTTTACATCCTTTATTTATGGAGAACTTATATCAAGAAAAAGGAATAATTTTAATTTTAAACGAATGCCTTATATTTCAAAAGTGTGTTCAAATAGCAAATCGGTGAATTGGGTTAAAATGGCTTAATCAACTAATATTTCTATAAGTTTTTTTTGGGGTATTTAACATATTTTTTCAAAGACAGTGGCCACATAGCTTCAAAATTACTGCATCGATCATTTTAAAAATTTTTAACATCATTTCTGTATACATCATTGAGTAATGCTGAGGATTTTTTCATTTTGTTTCAAAAAAACATTTTTTCGTTTCAAAAAAAGCCTCATGGTAACGTTATATAGTCCTATCGATTTTCTAACAATATAATTTTTTTAAATTCAATTGATTCCAAAAAGAGAACGCATAAATTTTAAAAATTTGATTGTTTTTACCATAATTAAACTTATTTCATCCTTGAAGGAGTTATTATACATTTCAATTCGGATACAGCATTAAATCTTTATTTCGGGTTATATATAAAATTTTTGTTATATTTAAATGGGAGTTAAATGAAAAGAATTTCGGGTATCAAGTATTGAAGAACCTCGACTATAGGCGTCTTTTCCTGCTCTTCTCTTCGTATCGGTAGCAATCGGAGCTCAAACCTTGCAAAATCGGGACAAGTTCGGCTTGAGAATTCCAATCGTTCTCCAAGATCACTTTTTTGTTCTGAAATTAAACGCAAATAATATATAATTCGAAGTATGATCTCAGCTTCTGGAACTTACCGATTCTTTCTGAGTCATGCGCTGTTTCAGAGCATCAATGTTGGTCTTGTCCTCTTCCACATCAAACTCGGGAATAGTTGCCAGTCCGGCGGCTCTTCCAATGTTTGCGATGATTGGTGTAACATTAGTTGTATCTGAGGATAGATCTGCTCGATATGTTGAATATACAAAAGTGGTATTGCTATGCTGTTCAACATACCATTTCTAACTTCGGCACCCAATTGACGATTCCCTATATGACCTTGCGAATTGACAGTTTGTGTCCTCTTTTCAACGTCGAGGTTCCTCTGCATGGCTTCCAAGTTCTGGCGTAATTCATCCAGTCGCTGTTTCACGCTTTTCAGTGTTCTGAAGGAGTCGCCGATCTTGACCAGACCTTGGCTCACTGTCCCCACAACCATTATCCAAAGGTGTTTCTTGTCGTCTTCTGGTAGAGGTTCATGGTTGCTCTCAAAGAAAATGTTCACTGTTGAGTTGTACGAAACGCACCACTCAAATGCCACACCACTGGCCCTGCTGTACGTCCGATAGGCGTTCGAAGTCAAGTCCCGAACATTGTCTAGGTCCCTCTTGGCGGTACTCCGGGATCCGATCAGACCATCATCCACCACATTGATGGCGCTTTGCAGGGCACCGAACTTTAGCTTGTTATTGAAATCGCTTTCGTAGTTGTTGACTGAGCGGGAGAGACTTCGAAGTCCCTTCTTAAAGAAAGTCAGGTCTTCGGGACTGGCACTGCACGCGACAAAAAAAATGCACAATGGCAGGGATAATGCCAGGGATGTCCTCATCGCTAATCCGTTTGATGAGATCGCAACCCTTAAAGCCGGCTTTGGCAAAACTGACTGCATCCCATTGTATCTGTCTTTTTATAGTAGTTAAGGAACTTTAGACAGCTGAGGTATGCATTTTTCCAATTTCAAGAAAAGGGCATTCTTAGTAGTAATTGCATATGTGGGTCTGCTCCTAGTAAATAGTTACATTGATTACTTCTATACTCTTCATAAACATTTAGGTTTATTGGGAAAACCAATTTTGGGTTTTTATTTTAGTTTCTTATTTTATTGGTCTTATATTTTATTTTCCTTATATGAACTTATTTGGCATATATTTTTTTTTTTTTTTAACTCAAGATAATCGAAAAAAGAGCACACGTATTTCCATGTGCAATATTGATAGGAATATATAGTGCAAAAACATTGAGAAATATTCAATATCACTCTGTATGACAGTCTACGTAGGTGACGAAGCGCAAGCCGTAAAGCTGTTCGCGTCGATGTAAAAACTATTAACCGAGAGGCGTCAATATAAATTTTTAAAATCAATAAAAAATAAATAAATGTATATTTAAATAAACCTTCAATTGATATAATTGCATTTTAAGGCGAAAGATGAAGGCAATTAATATTTTTTAGTATCCAAAACTTCTTTTTTTTAAGTAAAAGTATTTAAAAATATGTATAAAACATTGAAGTATTTTGCCTAAAATTATTTTTTAAAAAGACAATTGTTATCCTAGATAAAAACTACAAATTACTTTATTATATACTAATTAATTAATTACTCCTACTAATAAACTATTTTAAGATATAATACGACCCCCGAATATTAAAAAAATATATTTTAGTTTCACTCCAAAAAAAAAAACTCATTTTAATTGGTTTCGATTTTTTTTTAATACTAAACAGTTTAAATTTTGATACAGAGAATCCAAGCGTCATGATTTTTAAAAGGAACCCGAAAGGACCATAATTAGCTGATATAGAATGGATCTCGAAATGGGCCTAAAACTGACTGAAGCTGGCGCGAAACTAAGCTAATGAAGTTAAAAGTAAACTAGGACTCGGATATAAACTACTTTTTAAACTAAAACCTTGAATTAAGACTGGGAGTTGTTTTCTTCAGGAGCAAGTTCTGGTGCCTCCTTCACCTCGGCATCGTCCTTCTCCCCAATCCTGGCCAGCATCTGGGCTATGATCTCGCTAGTTGTCAGTAAGTATGACTCAAAGGGAACGACTTCATTCTTCTTATCCTCTAGATAACCGTCTTCCACCTCGGGAGCGAGAGGCTGCCCGTTGCACATATTCTCCAAGTCAGCGGCATAGCGACTGCGACATGTGATGTCCTCGTCCTCGCGGTTCGCCTCCACCTCATCGCCGATGAGGCAGTCTCTGATGGCCATCAGCCAGCGGGAACGAGTGGGTGAATAAACCATATTCGTAGGTGACGGAATGTGTATACCGATTCTGGAAGTTAAACCTTCTCCCAACATGTCTTCGTTATGGTTGCGCCGATTGCGAAGCAAAAATGAAACTGTAGCAGGAGCTGGAAGCAAAACTGAAACTAACATTGGAGCGCCACATAGAACTGCAGTTGAAGTAGAAGCCGGAGACGAGACTAGAGACACGGCCTGAGTAGGAACTGTAGCCGGAGCTGGAGACTGAGCTAAAGCCGAAGCTTCAGTCTGAACCGGTTCCGGATGCACCAATAAGCACTGTCCGGATTCCCGGGACTCTTCAATCTTCGATTGGGCTGGCACGGACTCGAGCTCCTCGAACTCTACCTGGTCGTTCCACTCTTCGGGTGAAAGGGGCACTGGTTGTTCATCATCCGGATCCTCCTCTCGCTCGGTGGCGCTCTCCATTATTGGTGGAATGATAGGGTTGCTTGTCTCTTGTGGATCCTGCTGCAGTCGGAGCATCTCACCCGAGATGTAGTCCAAGTCGTCGTAGTTGTCTTGCTCCAGGTCGACGTCACCATCCTGCTTCTCCGTTTCGGATGAGGGCAATGTGGCCCGCAAGTTGATCAGCTCCCGGGGAGCCTCCTTTGCCTTCTCCGCCCGGAGAGTCACATACTTGAAAAATGCACTGAAGCTGACATGCGAGTAGGGTGCGCGGGGCCGGGGCCGATGGTACGGGCAGTCCTCGTCGTAGAGCCACTCGCGTGGAGCATCCACCGCCAGACTAAAGTCGCGGCACATTTTCTTGAACTCGTGGTGGTCTGTGTAGATAGCGCGCAAGCCCACCACGGTGATGGCTTGGCTGATGCGTTCTTCAACCTCGAGATCGTCCTTCAAAATGGTCAAAAAATTGAGGTTGTTGGAAAGGTCGGGGAACATTAAGCCGTGCCACATCCTGCGCAGCAGTTTGTTGGGCAGACGCGTA